ATGCTCAGTGTAATGTGGTACAGTGTATTTACTATTTAAGTATTGTTAAGATTATCAAGAATAGTAAAACATGCTCAGGTGTAATGTGTTAGGTGTATTTACTATTTAAGTATTGTTAAGGTTACTCTTACAATTCCAGTGACGTGTATATATCGTTACAGGGACATCATATCTGATGACATTGGATGGAAAGCCAAACTTTCTCTTCCTCAGAAAGACAATCGAAAACAAACTGCGGTAATCTTGCTTTCATACTTTGCAAGTAGTATTTATTGTTGTGGTTAAGTTCAGAAACTGGTTTAATTAAATAGATTAAATTATCACAATAAGTAATCTGTTTTAAATTTTTTTACCTTTGTAACTTTTATAACAGTGTTTTGGAAGTTAAAGTTTTAGAATTACTTCTTACATCTTGTAAATATCTTTACTTATCTTTTTGTATATTACTATTATTAGTGAACATAGTCAAGAGTCCTTTCCATTCTATTCAGGCTTAGAAACTATCATCCCTGGAAAATGTAATTATTCATGTCTTTCTTTTCAGCTGTTTTCTATTTCTGTAAGTGATTTTTATGTGTGGTGGTGATTTGAGTTGTCTTTTATTTACCACAGGAAATATGTTTATATAGGATTTTAAGAGTATGCTGCATTCATTTGAATTATACACTCAGTTGCTTTAAGAAGCATTATTCTTGTTTTATCACTTTTCCCTTGTTCAGGATTAATGATGAGGGGTGGAATTCCCTGAACTCAGTATAACTTCATAACAAATGGTGAATTTAATGATAAATTGGGCTTCATATTTATTTTTAGTGTTAGTAGTTTCATTAGTCCTTTCTTCCTACCCTTTTCATGGTATCACATGTAATTTAAACAAGTACTTATGAAGCATAACAGCTAAAGAAAAGTTTAAATGCTATTTGCACAGAGCCTAGTATAAGCTATTTAAATCAGTGTAGAGTAACTAAAGTGAGCAGTAATTTATGGTTTTTGTAGTAAAGTAACTACCTAGATATCTTGTTGGGGTGAACAAAGGAATATAATGGTAAGGTCAGAAGACTTGAAAACAAACTACAGATATGGATATATTTTTATAGTTTATTTAGACATTCGTTTTGTTCCTGAAAATATTTTTTCTGCATTTGTTTGAAAGCTATAGTAATTATTATTTTTTTATTTATTTACTTATTATATGAAACTAGTTAGGTTTAATGAGTATGGTAAGTGATTGCAGAATTGTCCTTTGACTAAAATCCCCTTTTCATTAAATTTTATTAAGTTTATCATATTCAAACAATACACAAATGAAAACAATTTTGCTTTTTATAAGAAACTATTTATTAGATATAAATTTATCATGACCAGAAATATTGTTAGTAAAAAGTTACCTAGCCTGACAAAAGCCATGAAAAATTGGAACCTTAGGTCACAAATATATATTTGTCAGATTTTGCTGCAATTTTATAAGTTGTAGATGGAAGTGATGACTACTACAGTCAGTAAAGAACCAAGAAAATCGAATCAATGAATATAAATCAAAATGAAGCTTATTTGTATATATAAATTATTAACTCAATGTGATTATTTTAATGAGATTAAGTATCATGTACAATATAGAAGAATACCCCCAAAAAAACCAAACAAAAAACTGTAGATACGCTTTCTGAAGGTTCGAGAGGTTACACAACTGCAATATGCAAACCGTGCAATGCATAAAGTATTTATATTCTGCACACGCACATCACCTTGCACTCCAACTTGTCAACATCCGAGTTAGACTGACCACTTCAATTTTCAGACATATCTTAAATATATATATACTTTTGTAACATTGGATTTTTTTTGTACATTTTATTAAAAGTTTACCAAATAGTAAATTCACAATTACTATCAAAATTCCTTCTCCAATATGCACACATTCAGTCAACAGTAATCAAATTGGTAATGACAAAGAAACTGCTATCACAAGTTAAATTAGTTTCTATTTATCTCTATCACTTTTTTTAGGGCTATAATATAATCCATTATTATGGTCGGATACTGAATATTACTACATTTGGCATGAAGATACTTAATTAACCCTAGTCAGCAGTATATATAGTAAATAATGTGAAACACTGGGCAAATAGAAACTAGCTGCTTCAGAGTATTTATAGTTCTTACATCACTTTCATTGATGAATAATGATATCTGAAGTACTTAGGTTAAACATTAATTAACAAATTTATTTTACTTTTAATCATGGCTATTTATTCCTAATTTTTTTGTTGTTTTACCACAATGTTATCCATACATTCTTTTTAAACAAAACAAGCCTTTCAGTTTTACTTACTTTAAAAAAAATATCTAACCCTTTCTGAATCAGAGAGAGGTTATTGATCTCCTTTGATTTCTTTTACTTATCATAGAAGAAATACTTATCTAGATAGATTGCATGAATCGCAGTACAAACTTACTAAACATCATCTAGTTTTGGACCATGAACTTTCACTAAATCGGTAGCATAGGGTAAAATAAATACTTACCTCTGAACCTACCTCCCTCTCGATTCTAGATTCATGCCTCTCTAAAAGGTCATGGCATACATACTTTGACTCCTACCCGAGGTCGTAGGATTAATACCATGGTAGCTGTCTTGAAATTAGTCATGTGTCCCTTGCCTTACACTCTTGACAGATAGTTATGCTAGTGATGAGTAGCCGTCCAAGTTACTTTCACTCTCCGTCTTCGGTCATTGGTTTCTCCATCAAACTCCCTTCTCCTCCTACTGCTTTATTCTGTTGCTCTTTGAAAAATACTAAAATTAAAATGAGAGTTCAGCAAATCCAGTTTCATGCTGTTCCCTGGATGATGCTTTCACTGTAACCAGTTAAAAGTAAGTTGTATAACCTTTTGAGAAATGGAACTAAAGAATAGCCACACTTGGGATAACTTCTAAAATTATTGAGTTTGTGAAGCTAGTGATCTTAGTAATTTCTTTAAAATCACCAACTACTTAAAAGTAAACCCACACTGTACTCCTTTTGAAATTAAAATCATTCATTGTAATAAGTGACCAGAAAGGTCATCACCAATCTCCCTTTGTGCCATTAGTGTCAATTATCAACCAACTTGGAGAGTAGTGTGTGAAACATCAAATGACAAGTATGTGCAAGTTTTGTTTACAGACTTAGACTATACTTGCTAAACACTTACAAACGGCATACTATAAGTTGGGGTTTTAAAAAGCATTGGATGCATCCAGATAAGATGGGCCTATGTAAAATTTTGTCTCTATAGTATAATATTATTTGCAGTTTCAGACACTAGATAGAACTTGTTTCAAGTTATTTTATTATCCTTTGTTAAAGTAGTGTTACTGCACCATACTCAGTCTGTAATTTATCTTTTTATAAAATGTTATTTTTACTTGTATATTCCTTTGTCAGTATAATGTGGCACAAAATTGTTTAGTTAAATGTATTGGCAATTTGGCAGCTGGATATGTGGTTAGCATTAAGTTAACTATTCATTGAATACAGTTATAAGAACTTTTTTTTGATATACAAAATTCAATAAAGAAACTTAGCATGAGTGGTTTGATAAAACTGTTTATTTGGACTTAGAGAAAGTTTCAAACTATTTGACAAATAAGTTAACTTTCAAAGCTAACCTGGGTAACTTGGTTTACCTTGGTAGACATTTCTTGCACAGTGAGATATTGTATAATTGTTATTAGATATTCTTTTGTCTTTAAACAAAGTATAGGTTAAACTTGTATGAAGAAATTGATTTGGGGAATTTTTGTAAACATTATTTTATCTACCTTTCACAGTGATAATTTGTGTCTTCTATAATTACGATTTTTAGGAGGTGCATCAGAATAATTTCCCAATACAAATTAAATCTTGTGAGTATTGTATTATAAAAAAAAAAATTGGGTCTACCAGTATAGTACTTCCTAGTTTTGTGTTGCAAAATATTCCACAAACATTTCAATGTTGAAACATTTTTATGAATTTTTCTACATGAAATTTTGTGATGGAAACAATGCAATTATTTGTCATTAACTTCAGAAATTGATGAGTTTTTTTAATTCAGGATGTGACTGATACAAAGGGAAATGAATTTGAAGACTTCTGCTTGAAAAGGGACTTGCTCATGGGGATATTTGAAAAGGGCTGGGAAAAACCATCACCTATTCAAGAAGCAAGCATCCCAATTGCCCTACTTGGTCGGGATGTTTTAGCTCGTGCCAAAAATGGAACAGGCAAAACTGGTGCCTATATTATTCCTATTCTCCAACGAGTGGATACCAGTGTTGATTATATACAAGGTAAGAGGTACAATGTGTGTTGTGTGTGTGTCTATATATATGTTTTAAGTTCTTAATTTTATCAGAAAATATTTTAAAAAATTCTCAGTCTCCCTTAGTTTGAGAATTGTGACTTTTGTTCTCTAGGTCTTTTTTTCTTTTATAGTTTATTAATCAATGCTCTTTGAAGTATGGAATTTAATGTAACTTACTCATTATAATACAAATATTACTAGGTCAAACTCTAATTTTCATAGCCTTCAATCTTATTTGTTTATGCAGTCATAAATTACCATAAGAGACCCACTTGCCACACCCATCTCTCACATCCTCTTTCACAAATTGCCAGTAGTTCTGTCCGACATTTTATACAATATTGTTTATAACCAATAGAAAGATGAAGTTTTAATCTGTCAAATGACTTGTTATATTACATTGTTTTTTTGTACAGAGTATTGTCTATTTTTCCTCCAGTTTGAAATTTTCTCTCGCAGTATTCATGTTGACAAGCTTAGCTAACAAAATCTTTAAAGGCTCTTATCACATAGTTAGAAAGCCAAATACATTATGACACTTATAGTACATTGTTTTCATTGGGTTTTATTATTCTGTGTTGTTAGGTGCATTATTTAATTTAATAATTTATTGTGCTAGTACCATTAGTATATAAAAATTAGGCTTATCTTTCATCAAAGTTGACAGCACATTTCTTGTCTTTTAAGTACATTTTTATTTATTGTTATAAAAGTACCTTGCGTTACGTAATTCAATAAGGTAACTTGTATGGCCAAATTACACAGGCCCATGAATTTAAACTTCATAAAAGTTGTTTTGGTTTTAATAACAGATTTTCAATAATTCAGCTACACAGATTTCAAAAATAATATTCTATCACATGAGTATTTTTTTACGAATCAGGAAGAAAAAAACTTACTTAGATCAAATTATTATTTCGTTTACCACAATGAACATTTTTTATTATGTTTAACAAAAATACAAGCAAATTGAAGAAAATGGAAGAACCTTGATGTTAAATGAATATGCATCCTCATTCATCCTGTTGTTTTTTTGTGTGTGTGTGTGTGTGTGTGTGTGAAATCTACGTCTTTTAGTCTCAAAACTATCGTGTTGTGGTCTTTCTTTTATGTATTGCGATGACGTTTTGTAAAAAATCTGTAGGTGATGGAGAAAATGGATATCATTTTCGGATTCATCGTACAGGAATTACTGTAGAACATGTAAAAATTTCAAGACAATAAGACCATCACAGGCCTGTGTTATTAAAAGTGGTCGGTCCATTTTTAATTTTTGTTTTGCCCTTCTTGTTGTTATCTGGTGGTAGTTAAGCCTTCACTCTTTACGTGACATTGTCGACATCACAATATGTGCATATAAACGAAATAAATTTAAAGTTTTATAAAATTAACAATTCTTAGTGTCCTTTTGCAACAAAAATGGTACGCTTTCTGGACTTTTAAAATTATAAGTATGTTTTTTATATTGCTCAAGCAAGTTTACCGAGCCAGTAGTTGCAGATACAGTAGCTCTTTAAGAATTTTCAATCAATGTCATTCACGATGGAAATTTGTAGTATTAGGGTAGCATATTCTTTCAAATGTTGCAATGACATGTTTTAACCATATAGGAATCACAAAGGATTATTCAGTGTAGACAAGTATTAGGGTTGCCTGATGTTTCAAATGTTTTAATGACAAGTTTTGACCATATAGGATTCACAAAGGGTTATTTAGTGGTGACATATAAGGTCTGGAATTATAAAAGTTCCTTAGACGTCATGACTTCAGGTCCAAACTTTAGATTTTGATACGATTAACATGATGTATGGTTTTACATGCTTATCATCTACCGTGTCCAATTTTTGAAGTTTAAAGCTCAATACATAATGTATTTTTATTACATAAAGTTTATTGAAAAACATTTGCCCTTCAGGCAAGAATTCATGAGCGTAACAAAAATATCCTTGCTCTTTCTTTTTTTAATACTCGTATGTATATATATATGTGTGTGTGTGTGTGTGTGTGTGTGCGCGCACGCGAAGAGACCAAAAATTTTATTAGTTATAAGCAAAGAGTAATTATTTTATACTCTTGTTTTTCGAAACTTTATCTAACACTGATATAATTAGAAACTAAATGGAACCTTCAGGTTTCTGTTCCATTACATAACGAGTACGTGAGACGTCAAAACAACAGCTGAAACTAGTGGATGTCCAATTAAAACCTTATTCCACGTTAGGTAAGCATAAACACAACAATAAAAGGCCTATATACTTTAAGATTAATGATTTCTGTCACTCTGTCCGACTTCATTTGGTGTATTCAAATCAAAATAATAAATACGTAATAATCTCCGGTTTTATTTTAATTATTTTCATAATTACTTACGTTCGAGCTTGTCTGTAATAAAGTGCACCTTAAATTACTTTACATAATAAAGAAACATCTATTTTTTATTTTTTATTATTACTTATTAGCTTAGAATTTAAGGTAGGAGGTTAAGGGATGTTACAACCTTTCTTGAATATTTAACTATAAAACAAAAAACTTAGAAGACATTTTCCGTACCTTCTCGTTTTTATTTTAATCCTCTTATTTTCTCTGATGAGTATTTTATTTCTATACCATTGTACTTTGGGCTGTGGGTTTCCTCGGATAATACACCTTAACTTGATTTCGGCATTCCCCTGAGTGATCACTTTAGCATGACGTATTCTGGTAGATGGTGGCTTGGCTGAAAGGGAGAAATAATAAAAAAAATCATTGTTATTTTTAAAATATAAAAAAGAAGTTCTAATACTTTATTAGCACAATACTGTTTAATCACCACAATGTTATCTGACTCTACGATTTTCCAGTGCATTTTGAAATCGGTATGACAGTATGGTTTTGTAAGTATCAGAAAAGGTATCGTAAAACAGTGTTTATTTTATTTAGAGTCCTAACCATTATCAATTTATATCATTATTGACTCAAAGGGAAAAGTTTCTGCTATAATCATATACACTCCAACTACATAATGCCCCCCCCAAAAAAAAGTGGTGCAGAGTTGATGGGATTGTCTCCAACGGGTGGAGATTATGGGTTTCATGAAGAGAAGATAAATTACTGAAGATTTCACAAGGAATCCATGATGTCAAACAATGGACGACTTTATGAACCAGATCTCGAAAGAATGTTAAAATAAAGATGGTGTCACCCAAAGCACATGATAATTACTGGTCGAGCTTTGATTAAATTTAGAACATATGCACGACTGAGTGTCTATTTAGAGTTTTATCACTATTACTTGTGATCTAATTCCTTTTTGATTAATATGTTTTAATATGTTATTGTGTAAAACCTCCGGTTTCAATTCGACGTTTCAGACAAAATGATCAATTATTATATCATTTAATTTACGACATGGCCAGGCATGGCCAGGTAGTTAAGGCACTCGACTCGCAATCTGAGGGTCGCGAGTTCGAATCCCCGTAACACCAAACATGCTCTCCCTTTAAGCCGTGGGGGCGTTAT